CGGACGGTGCGCGCCACCACGTGGCTCTGGCTAGCTCTGGGCCTGCAGCCCCCCGGCGCTGTCTCAGGGCCTCTGGCCGGCGGCTGCAGGCGCGGGGTCAGTCCTGGGGTGCGGCTGTGGGGGGCGAAACCTGGCCCAGATACCTCGCCCGAATACACCCTCGACTGGCCCGCCTGGGGTCACTTCCCAGCTGCCCGCTGCTCGTGGCCACACTCCGGGCGTGGTACGGGGCTGCTCGTGCCCAGACACCTGCGTCTCGCCCTGGGCACGGCCACCATCGCCTTAGGTGGCAAGAAGGGTCTGGGTGGCTACCGTTAGTCACCCAGACAGGGCCCCGTCCCCGGGCGGGAAGGAGGCGGAGGGTGCTGACCCGCGGCCGCCTCGGTGGACTGGAAGGGCGTGGCCAGCCCCAGGGAGTGGACGGAGCCTCTGGAGGGTGCGGCCTGATGGTGTCCGCCGTCTGGATTGTTCTCGGCGGCCCTGAGCCTGATACGGCAGGCCCCAGGAGCCTGCAAGTGTCCCCCAAGACCAGGCCCGTGGCCGCTGGCAGTGCCGGCCGGCCCTCTGTGGCAGCCAGGCCCCGGGGCTTGACCCCTACCGGCGTCGCCTCGTAGAGAGCACTGACCCCAGCCCAGCCGTGCAGCTGACCGGCTGGGGCTCCTGGCCAGGGTCTGCTGCGAGGGACACGCGTGCCCACCTCACAGAGAGCAAGGACCTGGGGCCGGCGGGGCCAGCGGCCGAGTGGGCAGTGGTGGCCCGGTGGCCCTGCCCTGGGGGCCTTCCTGCCTCTCAGAGCTCGGGGCCCAGGGCCACACTGGGGGTGTCTTTCGTCGCTGGACCTGCTTGCAGGCCACAAGTGATGGGGAGTGCCACCCCAGACTCTTGAAGGTCGGGGTGCCCTGGCCCCGAGGCCTGGCCGCAGGTCTCGCAGCTGCACGGTGGCACGGTCACTCCCGGGCATGGCCACTCTTCAGGGCTCTGTCCTCCCCCGGGGGACCCAAGCCCATACTGGTACTCTGAGGGTGGCCCCAGCTGGCCCTCATCACGGTGGGGGCCAGAGATGGGGCTGCCGGCCTGGCCCCGGACACGGGGGTGACACGTGGGCCCGCGGCAAGGACGGGCAGCCCGAGAGCAGCCAGACAGGCCGGTGGGCTCAGCGAGCAGAGGGCGGTGGGCTGCCCCGAGGCTGGTGGGGGCCGCGGGCCTCCCGTGCGGGCTGGGGTGAGCTGCAGGGGTGCTGGGGGAGGGCCTCGGTGCCGGCGCCCAGCCCCTCCCGGGCGGGGTCCCTTTAAATGTAAGGTTCTTTCTGCCCTGGACTCCCGTCTCCCGGCAGCCAGGTCAACAGGCCTGACCGCTGCCGACATGGCCTCCCCCTGCTCTGGGGACCCCAGCCCCACAGGGTTGCCCCCCCGTCCTGCGGCCACTCCGGGTGAGACCCGCGTGGGGGAGGGGCTCTGGGCGGGAGACGCGCCCCACTGCCCCCTCCCGAGGCCCTGTGTGGAGCCGTCTCCTCCGGCCCCGGAGCGCCCTGCAGCCCCCGCCCTCAGCCGGCTGGCGCCAGGGTCCTCCTGACACCTCAGATTTTCTTCCGGAACATTCTCCCTACTTACACCCCCAGACCAGCGCTGGGCCCCAGGACCTCGGGGCACCACACAGCCTCCACCTGGCCACCCCCACCTGGCCACCCCCACCTGGCCACCCCCACCTGGGCCACCC